ACTCACAGAGATCCACCTGGCTCTGCCTCCCGAGTGCTGGGATTAAAGGCGTGCGCCACCACCGCCCGGCTTGTTTTGTTTTTTTTTAATTTAAAGTTTTTTTTGTCACATCTGTTGATATTGTCCTTGTTCAGGTCTTGGATTAATAGCTTTTTTTTTTTTTAAATAATTCATTCATTCATTCATTCATTTATGTATACAGTGTTCTGTTTGCATGTGTCCCTGCAGGCCAGAAGAGGGCACCAGATCTCATTACAGATGGTTTTGAGCCACCATGTGGATGCTGGGAATTGAACTTAGGACATCTGGAAGAACAGCCAGTGTTCTTAACCTCTGAGCCATCTCTCTAGCACCTGGATTAATAGCTTTTAATCAGTCTTTTTATTCCAGAATTCTAGCATATAAATTACTTGTGATGACTTAAAGTACAGAAAAAATTGAATGTAGTTTTGCTTTGTTTTTGATCAATAGTCTCAGACCAGGCAGACCTGAAACTTTTTAACTCAGGCTGGCCTTGAACTTGATGCCTCAACAGCTGCTGAGTCCTGGGATTACAGGCCTGCACTACCATGCCTAATTCTTTTTGGTGTTCTTGAGGTTGGCCTTAGGCTTGGGTCAGTCCTCTTGCTTCAGCCTTCTGAGTACTGGTGACAGGTGTGCATCATGGCTGGCTCACTTGTCAAGTTTAGAAATGAATTTTCCTTTTTCTTCTTAGGATGTTGAATCCTATATCCATCGCTCTGGACGCACAGGTAGAGCTGGCCGGACAGGAATTTGTGTATGTTTTTATCAGCCAAGAGAAAGAGGTCAGCTGCGATATGTGGAACAGAAAGCAGTGAGTAAAGTTAAATTACTTCAGTCCTATCATCTGAATGGTTGCGTAGAAGAGAGTTTCTGTTTACTCTCACAAACACACCTTCCCAGTGTTTCTCAGCTTACGCTGCATTTCCATGTCAAGCATGTGGAGAGCTAAATGGGTATTAGTTGCAGGACTTTGTTTTATACAGCTTTTATTGTGAAGCCAGAAGATCTGACATGCTCCTTTTTTCTTTGAATTTCTCCCTTGATACTAAAGTTGAAAGTGTGTTGTTAATGGTTCCAGTATCATTGTGACTACTAAGCATTGTGAATGGGTAACTGACTCTGATTTGGCATTGCTATTTTAGTTAGGTTGATAACACAATAACCAGTTTCATTAAAAAAATACATTTTTATGGTCTGCATTTTCTTGTAGTCTTTCACATTTTACCAACTATCTTTATGTTTATTTTTTATATAGTAATACATTTGTAAACGAAAATGGTAAGAAAATGTTGACAGATTAAAATGACATCTTTTTCTCCTTTTGAATCAACTTTGTTCTGCAAGTGAAATTCCATGATTTAACTAAGGGACAAGTTTTTAGTTCTTTTGTTTTTTCTTTTTGTAATTGATTATAGATGATTTGTTAGAAAAAGCTATTTTTTTTCATCTGCTAGGGCTTGGAAATCTTTAAGTCCAAGAAATGGAAATTCAACAGACTATATTAATTTAGAAATTAACTATGACTTCCTTTTTCTTTAATGTAATTCTTTCATTTTCAGGGAATTACTTTTAAACGTGTAGGTGTTCCTTCTACAATGGATTTAGTTAAATCTAAAAGCATGGATGCCATCAGGTATGCTTTCTGACCTTGCTGAGTAATTCTCTTCTATATTAGGCTGTTCATCTTTAAGCTCTCCTAGTTCCAATGTGAGAAAATTTTTGTCAAGGGTTTTACCAGAAGACATTTAGTTACATTATTATATGAAAATGTTACTCTTTCTTTTCCCATTGATGATCTTGCCTTTACTTTTCCCCCTGTATCTTGACCAAGAACATTTACTATTTTTAAACCATAGGTCTCTGGCCTCTGTTTCTTATGCTGCTGTTGATTTTTTCCGACCATCAGCTCAAAGACTGATAGAAGAGAAAGGGGCAGTGGATGCATTGGCCGCAGCATTAGCTCACATTTCCGGTGCATCAAGCTTTGAACCACGATCTTTGATCACCTCTGATAAGGTAGAAATGTGTGGGGAAGTGTGTATTTGGCTAGAGAAGGTTAAAACTGAGCCTTAGCAGTTATACAGTACATTACTGAAATACTGCATTGGGTTCCTTCACTGTATTAAGGTTTTGTTGTTGCTGTTGTTTTCCTTTTCTGTCTAGAAACATCTTCTTCTCATCTTATATACATGGCTGCAATCCCAGCACTCTGGAGGAAGACTAGTACAATAAATATCATTTATCATCCACCTTAATTCATCAACTGTTAATATTGTGCAAAAATGAAGATATCATTCCTAAATATTTCAACTTGTATCTTCTAGAAATAATGACATTCTACTTAATCACAGTATCACAGTATAATCTGCTTACAAAGATGGCTCTGTATCAGGCATTTGATATCTGTATTTAGATTTGCTTCTGTCCACACAAAACATAGCTCTCACTCCAAAGGGTGTATGAAATAGTTTTATTTTCAGCTGTATGTGAGTTACCGTGTTGATTTTGGATTTAGGTCGCTATGAAGGATGTGTGCCACCATGGAAGTGGTTACATGTGCTTTCATAGTCACAGAACTAAAAGTCATTAATTGGAGAATTTATTACATACATTAGTGTAGATATCAGATAGGCAGGTTACAGCCAGGTCGGAAAATCTGTTGTAGATTTTATATGCTACGTGATAACATTCTTAGTTTTTGGATTTGTAGAAGCTATTGGTCTACTGAGATTGTAAAGGTTTTTGTTTTTTGTTTTGTTTTACCTGACAATTGAAAGGCTGTTAGGTCAGATACAGAGGTAGGCATCAAATGGCCACTAGGATTTTATTTTTTTATTTTTATTTTTTCTGAGACAGGGTTTCTCTGTGTAATTTTGGTGCCTGTCCTGGATCTCGCTCTGTAGACCAGGCTGGCCTCGAACTCACAGAGATCTGCCTGGCTCTGCTTCCTGATATTAAATCTGTCACACCAAAGCCATTTGTTGCAAGTGGTTCAGAGATTTGTTACTTACTGTGATATAAGTGGGGTGGGGTGTGAGTCTTGAGAAGGGACAAGGGAGGGAGAAATACCACTTGGCATATAAACCCATTTTAAAAGCAGATTTTATTCTCTGATCATCTATATGGTGATCCTTTAGCACTGAGTACATAGAGAATCCCTAAAAACTCATCAGATACTTTATAAAATAATATTTAGTCAGGAATGATGGGTATGACTATAATTTCAGCATTCAAGAGGCTGCTAGCCTGGGCTACATACACAGCTAAACTTGTTTCAAAACCAAACAAAAGCCACAAGTGGTAGCTCAAATTTTGATCCCAGCACTCAGGAATTTGAGACTAGCCTGTTAAACATGAAGGTTTTAGGCCAGCCAGGGCTACATACAGAAAACCTGTATCAAAAAACAAATAAAAAAAAAAAACCCAGTGGGTGTTTTATTTATTTTTGAAACAGCCTTTCAATGTTTACCTTTGGCTGGCCTGTAACTCACAGAGATTCCCTGTTTAGGTGTGTATCACCACACACCAACCTGAGTATTTTATTTTTTCGAAGCAAGGTCTTGCTGTATATCCCAGGTTGGCCGTGAAGTCACCATACTTTTCCTGCTTCAGCCTCTCAGATAAACAATGTTTTTTTGAGGAGTGGTGGTGGGTTTGAATTGGGGTTTCTCTGTAAAACAGTCCTGGCTGTCCTGGAACTCTCTCTGTAGACCAGGCTGGCCTCGAACTCACTGAGATCCACTTGCCTCTGCCTCTTAAGTGCTGGGATCAAAGCCATGTGCCACCACTGCCCAGCAGATAAAAAAAATTTTAAATTGTACTTTAAAAAAAAAAATGTTAAGGTACTTCATAGGTCACTTACTGCTAATCCTTGTCTTATGAAAGGATTCTTTGGCTGGCCACAGAGCTGGCCACATCTGGAATCACAGCACTTGGGAAACAGCAGGAGACTGCTATAAGTCTGAGGCCAGCCTAGCCAAGAATCATTTAGTAGATAGATCATCTAACTTTTAATTAAATATCTTAGGAACAAAGTACAAATGCCTGAAATTCCTCTTATGAATTAAACCATATTTGATGTCTTAATTTTTTTAAATGTTATTTTATGTCTAAGAGTTTTTAACCTGAATGTTTGTATGTGCACCCTGTGCATGCAGTGCCTTCAAAGTCAGAACTGTAGTTAGCACTGGCTGGTTGTTAGCCACCTTATGGTACTAGGAGTTGAACCAGGACCTTCTGGAAGAGCAGCCAGTGCTGGCTTTTTTTTTTTTTTTTTAAAGATTTATTTATTATGTATACAGTGTCTACCTGCATTTATGCCTGCACACCAGAAGAGGGTACCAGATCTCATTGTAGATGGTTGTGAGTCACCATGTGGTTGCTGGAGATTGAACTCAGGACCTCTGGAAGAGCAGCCAGTGCTCTTAACCCTAGAGCCTTCTCTAGCTTTGAAGTCTTTATCATGAATGTCCCATAATGCTTGGTGCCTGTATGACTTTACTTTTTCATCACTCTTGATTTCTCTGTCTGAATCTATTTGACTTTACTTCCACATTAACCCACTCCTGCAAAGACCTCCAGGCTTACTCATTTTCTCAGCCCCCTTCCCCTTACAGCTGTGTGCCTTCCTCCTTTATTTTGGCCTCTGCTCAAATATCATCATACTCAAGAAATCTTTGCTGATCACTCTCTTCACTGTTTTCCATTCCCTATTCCTGCTGTGTTATTCTTTATGATACATGTCACTGACATTTTATATCCTTTGTTACTGTCTCCATCCCCCACCCCTGTAAGAAAGCCATGTCCCTGAGAGAAAGGTCTGTTTGTTATTAAATATCTAGCCCTTGGCATGGTCTAGGGAACATTATAGGAGGTAGTCACTAAGTATTTGCTAGGTAAATATTTTCATGTTGATTCTTTTGCTGTCCAAAGAAGCTTCATGGAACAAGTAATTTTTATGTGGTAGTCCTCCAAAAGTTTGAAGATTTTGATGTCTTTTTTTCGTTGTTAAGTAACTGACTTTTAATCATTTCCTTATTTCTTCACTACTTTTCCCCAACCCTTTCTGTGATGGGTCTAATTCTGTCTTATAACATGTAGAACATAGTCTCTGTGTGATCTGTAAGTGCAGAGTACAGAACATGGTGCTGTCAGTGATTGTAAACAGCTTTCTAACACAGTTTCAGAGAAGTGAGTTTTTAGTATCTGTGTTACACTGTAGGCACACTGCATGCTAACTACGTGATAATTGAGAAAGGATCATAGAGTTCAAACTTCATTTTCCTGCTGCTGAATTTCTCTCAAACCTAATAGGATTTTTATTTCTAAAGGGGTTTGTGACCATGACTCTGGAAAGCCCAGAAGAAATACAGGATGTCACTTGTGCTTGGAAAGAGCTTACCAGAAGGCTGAGTAATAATGCTTTATCTCAAGTAACCAGAATGTGCCTCCTGAAAGGAAATATGGTAGGATTTTCTAGATAATAAGCATTTTAACCAGTTACTGATAATATTTATAAAGACCTCAAAGATTTGGGATTATATAAATGGTACATTCCTTCAGAACTTTAAGTCATTCTGCTTTGTTTGGCTAATATCTAAGTCTTTGTTGCTATTATTATTTTGAGACGAGGCATCCCTATGTAGCCCATGCTGGCCTTGAACTCATGATCCTCCCCTGAATGTTGGGATTGTAAGTAGGTGACACCACACCTGTCTAAGACTTAAGCAATCTAAGCTTCTGCTATGGTATCCTTGCCATGTGTGGTTGTGTGTGTTTATTTTTTAAGACTAGTTTCTGTGTGTATCAGTTGAACAGCTCTTATAATTAAGAGAATGAGTACTATTATTTTTTTGTTGTCTGCTATTGGTTGCTAATGAGAGTAATGATATGATCTTCTCCTTTGAGATGGTATTTCATAGTAGCCCAGGTTATCCTTGAACCTCTTGCTCCTCTTCATTCTACTGCCCAAGAACTGAGGTTACAGGCATATGCCTGAGTAAGTTACTGTGAAATGAAGCCATTAAAGCTAATTAAAGCTTTTGTTTGTTTGTTTGGTTTTGGTTTTGGTTTTTTGAGACAGCATCTCTCCATTAAGCCATGGCTGTCCTGGAACTCACTATGTAGAGCAGACTGGCTCACAGAAATCTACCTGCCTCCTCCTCCCTAATGCACTCATTGCCATGCCCAGCTTAAAGCTTCATTTTAGTAATTGGTTTTTTAGTATTTTGAGATAAAATAACTAAGAGTGTTTATCTAACATTACTACATAGATTATGTAGGCGTATCTCAGTGAGTTTTAGGTCAGCTTGGTCTACAGAGCTAATTCTAGGATCGCCAAGGCCATACAAAGATCCTGTCTCAGCCAGGTAGTGGTGGTTCACACTTCTAATCCTAGCACTTGGAAGGCAGAGGCAGGAGGATCTCTGTGAGTTCTAGGCCAGCCTGGTCTACAGAGCTAGTTCTAGGATAGCCAAGACTACACCAAGAAATCCTGTCTTGAAAAATCAAAAAAAGAAAAAAGAAAATCATCTCTCAAAGTTTAGTGTTACCTTCAATAAAGAATTAATACAAATACATGTATAAAACAAAACAAAACAACCCACAAACAACAAAACGGTTGAGGGAAAGAAAATTAAAATTAGACCACTAGTCCAAATGGGTTATTCAGTATTAATTTTAACTAATGGCCACCAAGGCCACAAGAAAAACACTTTCTGCTCCAAATTTTTAAGAATCCAAACTTGGGGTTGGGGATTTAGCTCAGTGGTAGAACGCTTGCCTAGAAAGCACAAGGTCTGGGTTCGGTCCTCAGCTCTGAAAAAAAAAAAGCAAAAGAATCCAAACTTTTAAGAATCTTAAGTCTTGGGGCTGGAGAGATGGCTCAGGGTTGCCGCCTGCTCTTCCAGAGGTCCTGGGTTCAATTCCTAGCCACTACATGGTGGCTCACAACCATCTATAATGAGATCTGGCGCCTTCTGGCCTGCAGGTATACATGCAGGCAGAACACTGTATATGTGATAAATTAAAAAAGCTAAACAAAACAAAAACAAAAAACTTAGTCTTTTGCAATGCTTGGGTTTGACCCACTGACTTGCATATGATAAGGAAGTACGATACCACAGACTTGTGTTCCCACCTTGTCACTAATTTTTTTTTAAAAGATTTATTTATTTATTATATATACAGCATGTATGCCTGCAGGCCAGAAGAGGGCACCAGATCTCATTACAGATGGTTGTGAGCCACCATGTGGTTGCTGGGAATTGAACTCAGGACCTCTGGAAGAGCAGTCAGTGCTCTTCACCTCTGAGCCATCTCTCCAGCCCATTGTTACTAATGTTTTAAAGAAATTTATTAAAAGAATCATTTTTTTTTTTCTTCAATCCAGAGTTTCTCTATGTAGCTCTGGCTGTCTTGGAGCTAGAGATTTGCCTGCCTCTGCTTCTCAAGTGCTAGGATCAAAGGCTTGTGCCACCACTCCCCAGCTAGAAGGGCCATTTCTTCTAGAGAATATTCTAGGTACTTCAGTCTTACTAGTTATACCTAGTTATACTATAATTATATATTATATAGTTATATAATTATATAGTATATATATAGTATATATAATTATACTATAATTAGATTATAACTCAGATTATAATCTAATCTGAGATTAGAAACTATAGGACAGACTGCAGATCATCTGTGCTTATGTGTCATCTGTTTTGATTCTGTAAACAGTCATGGAATATATATTTTCAAAAATTATTTATTTATTTTATATATATGAGAGCTCTATCTGCCTGTATATCTTTATTCCAGTAGAGGGCATCAGATTCCACTATAGATGGTTGTGCGCCTCCATGTGGTTACTGGGTTAAACTCAGGATCTCTGGAAGAAGTCAGTGCTCTTACCTGCTGAGCCATCTCACCAGCCTGGAATACATATTTTTTAAAAGCAAAATGCAATAAATATTAATTAGTAAAATTAACACATGTATCTAAATAAAAATCTTTTTGTTTTTCTTTTAGGGTGTTTGCTTTGATGTTCCTACAAGTGAGTCAGAAAGATTACAGGTATTTAAAATTTTTTATTAAGTAGCTGAGTATATTTCTTTAAAAAAGACTGTTTTGAAAAACTTAAGAGTCATTTATCATGCCTAAATCAATTAAGAAAGTCCTTAATATGAAATATTGCCTGTCCCTTAATTAAAAATTTATTATATGTAATTTCAAACATAAATGATAATTGGGGGCTAGAGAGATAGTTCAGTGGTTAAGACCACCTCCTACTCTTAGGGAGGACCCAGGTTCCATCTTAGCATCCACATGAACGTTCACAACACCAGGGATCTGACACCTTCTGACCACCACAGGTACTGCACGCACATACTTGCAGGCAAGACACTCTCATACATAAAAAAACTTTTTAAAAAATTGTGTAATGAGTCACCATAGGTGCATAATCAGCTTCAACATTTTGATAATTTTGTGGACAGTTTTATCAATTCCTTTCTGTCCGCTTCCAGTGTTTACAGACAAACTCCAGGCATTTTTTAAACTTTATTTTATTTTATGTGCATTGGTGTTTTGCCTGCATGTATGTAATGAGGATGCCAGATCCCCTGGAACTGGAGTTTCAGACAGTTGTGAGCCACCATGTGGGTGCTGGGAATTGAACCCGGGTCCTTGGAATAACAGTCAGTGCTCTTAACTGCTGAGCATCTCTCCAGCCCCCTTGTCATTTCAAGTATTCCTACATATTTAAATGTTAGGGATTTAAGCATAATCATAATACTATAATTACTTCTATACAACTATTCTTTAATACATTGTATTTAAGTTTTCCCTGTTGTCTTTTTGATTATCTTTCTTTGCTGTTCTCAGGTTGGAAGCTAGGATCTTACACATAATAGGTTAACACTGAGCTTCCCCACAGCCTTACTTAATTTTTTTTCCCTGTGGGTTTCTCTGTGTATCTCTGACTATCTTGGAACTCGCTCTGTAGACCAGGCTGACCTCAAACTCAGATATCTGCCTGCTTCTGTCTTTGGAATGCTGGGATTAAAGGTGTGGGCCACCATTGCTCACCCCACTAGATTCTTTTTTTTTTATATATATATATTTTACAATACCATTCAGTTCTACATATCAGCCATGGGTTCCCCTATTCTCCCCACTCCCACCCCCTCCCTTTACCCCCAGCCCACCCTCCATTCCCACCTCCTCCAGGACAAGTCCTCCCCCGAGTACTGTGATCAACTTGGTATACTCAGTCCAGGGAGGTCCAGTCCCTTCCTCCCAGATTGAGCCAAGTGTCCCTGCATAAGTTCCAGGTTTCAAACAGCCAACTCATGCAATGAGCACAGGACTTGGTCCCACTGCCTAGTTGCCTCCCAAACAGATCAAGCCAATCAACTGTCTCACCTATTCAGAGGGCCTGATCCAGCTGGGGGCTCCTCAGCCTTTGCCCACTAGATTCTTAGTCAATAATTTTTTCTAAAATGCCTTTCCTTTTTGTACACTTTGGGGAGGTAGCATTGAAACAAGAGTCCTGGAATCTAGCCCAGGCTGGCTTGGAACTTACTATATAGCTCAAACTTGGTACTTCAAAGTGCCACATATAGCTTATTCATACCTATTTTGAAATAATGGGATTGTACTATTTATTACATTCATTTATATGTAGGGTGGGACATGTGCACACTGTGGCTTATATACGAGTTCAAAAGACAACTTGTAGGAGTTGAGTGTCTCCTACCATGTGAGTCCTAGGCATAGAATTTAGGTCATCACTGTTGGTAACAAGCACCAAAAGCCAGTGAGTAAAGGTGAAAAGGTGCTTGATGTCAATTCAATCCCTGGTACCCACATAAATGTGGAAGAAGAGAACTCCTCCAAGTTGTCATTTGACTCCGTACATGCCCCACCCAAATACCTGCAGACATATATAAAAGTGATAAAGAAAAATTATTTAAAGTTTAAAGAAATATTATGGATCCTTTTGGGGGTGATAATTGGTAATTGAACTCAGGATCCTCATGAATGCTAGCTAGGCAAGTGCTCTAACCCTCTCTGTTTAGAGACAAGGTCTCACTAACTTGCTCATTCTGGCCTTGAACTAACTCGGTAGTAGCCTAGGCAGTCCTTGAACTTAGATGTTCCTACATGAGCCTCACATCTAGTTTTACTTCTGGTCCTGTTGATGTAATTGCTCATAATACTTCACCGCTTATTTGGTCTGTTTCTTTGTTCTGAGAAAGAGAATGCTGTCTTTTAGAAAACATAACTGTTAGGAATAGAGGTTTAGAATCTTGAAATGGGTCTGAGGGTTTCTCTACACTTGATCTTTCGCCAGAAGGCTGAGAAGTGACAGAAACTTTCAAGATTAAAATTTGGACATGTTACTACTGGTTTTGCTTATTTTCTGTTTTTCATTGTTCTTGACACTTTAAGGAAAAATAGCTTTTAGTTAGTGGCTAAAGAAAATGAAAAGAGCGTCTTCTTTACTCACTTGTTTATAGGTTTTATTTTGCATTTCTATTAATGAAATACATTCCTTTGACAGGGAGAGTGGCATGATTCAGACTGGATACTCTCAGTGCCAGCCAAATTACCTGAAATTGAAGAATATTATGATGCAAACACATCTTCTAATTCCAGACAGAGGGGCGGCTGGTCAGGCGGCAGGTCAGGTCGTTCAGGCCGCTCTGGCCGCTCTGGTGGCCGATCAGGTAGACAGAGTCGGCAGGGGAGCCGGTCAGGAAGTCGGCAAGATGGGAGAAGACGAAATGGGAACAGAAATCGCTCAAGAAGTGGAGGCCATAAACGGAGTTTTGACTAAGTGTTTGATAGTTGATCTTCCAGTGTGAGCTTGCCTATTTCTGTCTAATCATGTATATTATTCACCAAAAATTAGGTCATCATAGTTGAGGTATTTGTCTGTAATTTGCAAAGAAGTTGGTCGTATTTTTTTAAAAAGTATTTCACAAGAATGGTTGTAAACAAATTACTTATCCAGCTATACCTTTGAATTAAAAAAAGCCCCTTTTATTGTCTGTTTTCATTCTGTGTTAAGAATTTTCTCAATGTAATCTTTTAAAATTTCTTCTATGATGTAGTCTTTTTTTTTCCCCTCAGGTGTTTTTTTTTTTTTTTTTTTTTTTTGAGATAGGGCTTCTCTGTGTAGTCCTGGGTCTCTCTCATTCTATAGATCAAGCTGGCCTAGAACTGAGACATCTGCCTGCCTCTGCCTTCTGAGTGCTAGAATTAAAGGTATGCACCACATATGTTAACGTTAGGTCATTCATCCGTAGTGACCTATGTGATAAGACAAAACCGTTTCCACATTAAGAGCTGTTAACTGGTGACGTGTTTGGTGAAATGTACCAGTTTAACTTAATAGATAGATTAGGTAGATAGTTATGCAAGCAATGTACATGCCCTAATTTATCAATCATTTATTGAATATCTGTCATCTACTTCGGTAATCACTAGAGCACACATTTATAAATAGGGCATAGTCACTAGTTTCATAAAACTCATTGTCTAGCAATCAGCCAGTTATAATAGACATGAATGAATAACGACTAAGACTGAAGCAGGTGTGGAGTGCAGGACTGGGGTGTACCTAGTCAGTTTTAAGATTCAGGGAGACTTCGGAAGAAAATCTGACAGCCATCTGTTCATGTAACTCTGTGTGTGTGTGTGTGTGTGTGTGTGTGTGTGTGTGTGTGTGTGTGTGTGTAGAGAGATAGCAAGGGGGAGAGAGAGGAGGAGTTGAGTTAGCTTTGTGGTTTTTATTTTTGTTTTTGGAGCGTTGCTGTAGGCTAGACTGGCCTTAAACCTCCAGTCATCTCCTCTGGGCAGATGACTGTAGAAGGGTGAGGGCTTGCAGGCAGAGAACAACATAGGCAGGGATCCAGAGGGTAAGTCTGAAGACACACTTCAGTCTAAGGGCAGGGGAAGGGAGAAGGCTATCGAAGAGTATCCAGTGTTAAAAGCCTTCTTTTCATTGTTATGATGGAGTTCCATTTTCACTGAGTACAATGGAGAGAACATTCCACAGGTTTTAAGGTCAGAAATGATGAGGGTTTTTTATCATGGGCTGTTTTATTGTTAAATGTGTATTGTCCGCATGTGTATCTGTATACTCTGGGTGTGTTTGGTACTGTTGGATGCCAAAAGAGAGTGTTGGATCTCCTAGAACTAGAGTTAGAGATGTTTGTGAGCTGCCATATAAGGTGCTGGGAATTGAACCTGGGTCCTCTTTTTTTTTTAAAAAAAAGCAGTCAGTGCTCTTACATGCTGAGCCATTTCTTCAGTCCTAAGGAGTAACATGATTAGGTCTGTATTTCAGAAAGATTCCTGGCTTCATAGAGATGACCATGTTGGAGGAGGGCCAGACTGAAGGCCAGGAGACTTCTGAAGAGGCTACAGGAAGACTGGGGATGTAGCTGAGTAGTAGAGTAGTTGGCTAGCTGGTAAAGGAAAGGGCTTAGTCCTTAACTGAAAGAAAAAGTTGTAGAAGTAATTCAATATAGAGAGATGCTGGTGAGCCAAACTAATTAGTAATATTTTATGTGATGAGAACCAATGCATTTGAGATGTTGGTACCCATCCAAAATCATAGCTAGATAATATGGAGTGAAGACTTAAGCCCATAGAAGCCCAGTTTCTTAATCATTACCCAAAATTAGTGGCAGTGGATATTAAGAAATATGGGTAAGATAGGCTTTTATCCTGGCACTTGGAGGCAGAGGCAAGTGGATTTCTCTGAGTTTGAGGCCAGCCTAGTCTACATAGGGAGTTCCAGGCTAGCTAGAGCTACATGGTTGAGACCCTGTCTCAAGAAACAAGTAACATGGGTAAATTAGAGAGGATTTTAGGAGATAGACTTGTTAGGACTGAAATGTTGGTTGGACTAGAAGATGAGAGGTATAAGGAAATGATTTGACATTAGGATACCAAGAAGAGGAAGTAAAGTTATAGGGGAAGGAGTAGGGACGTGATTCATTCAGGGTTACATATACATATACTTTTATTTATTTATTTTGAAGACTGATCTCTCTACACATCCCAGGCTGGCCTGCAACTCACTATACAGGGGCTGTTTCCAGACAGGATAGCTCTGGCTATCCTGGAACTTTCTCTGTAGACCAGGCTGGCCTCAACATCAGAGATCTGTCTGCCTCTGCCTCCCAGTGCTGGGCTAAAGGTGACCATCAATTCTGGCTGTTAGGTATATTTTATTTTGAGTAAACCCCATGACAGTCTAAGGAGAGAGAGAAATAGTGGGCAGTTGGGTTTACGGGTTTGAAGCAAAGGTTTCTAAAAAGATACAGATTTGAGGGGGGAATAAACTGTATTCCATATAAATGCAGTTATCCAAGGAGAGCATTGTAAAAGCTGAGATTTGGAAAGAAACAAGAGGTAGGTATGCCAGTATACTTTGTGCATGAGGGGAAGGAGATCCATTGACAGGAGCACCGAGAAGAGGGCAGAAAGCTCAGGAATAGCAGGCTTTCATAGGAAATAAGTCTGAGCTAGTCACTAGATTTGAGAAGGACCCAGGACCACTGGAGCAGCGCGAGTGCTAGAGATAGAGTGGGCTTGGTGGCACACTTGGTGGCACACACTTGAACTCCAGCTTGTGTAGGTCAGAGTTGAAGAGGCTGGATGGGGAGTTTGAGGCCGATCTGGGTTACGTCGAAAGACTCAAATCCCATACGTACCAAACCTGAAGAACTTTTTAGAAATTTGGCCATAGACAGGGGAGAATAAACTAAAGCTGTAAATTGAACACAAGATAGTGGCTAGGATTTTTGTGCATGAGGATGGTGGTAGGAGGGGGTATCTGATATATGTTGAAATAATATGAAGAGTTCAGAAAGGAGAAATTTAGAACAGAAACGGAGCAAGATCCCTTTAAAAACCCAAATGAATGAGATCATTCACAGAACTAGAAATTGTAGCTTCAGGTATGTGGGGGGCAGTGCCTTTGAGTATTTTGTCAGGAATAAGATGTCGGGGAGTCTGGGTGCTGAGGTGAGGTTAGATATGCAGTGGTTACAATTAGAAGATGAAATGATGATTTCCCTGGGCACCACAGCATCTCAGAATGGAGATGGGAACAGGCGCCTGAGCACAGCTAGGTTCTATTCTGAGAAATGGAGGACTGGCAAAGCCAATTGGGAACGTGATTAACGTCTGCGGCACCTAGACCGACCAAGGATAGAAGTGCTGACTGCAGTGTAATGGGACAGGGAACTGAAGGTCTGTGAGAGCTGGAGAGGTTTGAGATCTGAAGAGTAGGGGAGGGGCATGGAGCCATGGCTCAGTGGTTAAAAGCACATACTGTTCTTGCAGAAGACCCAAATTCAACCCCAGCACTCACATCAGGCAGCTCACATCTGCCTGTAACTCCAGCTTCAGGTGATCTGATGCCCCTCTGGCCTGCACACACAAAAATAATAATTTAAAAAGAATATGGATAAAATAAAATATAAGAATATGGAAAACTCAAAGCGATTAAACTAAAATCAGAAACAAGACAAGGCTTCCCACTCTCCATATTTATTCAATATAGTACTTGAAGTTCTAGCTAGAGCAATAAGACAACAAAAGGAGATCAAGGGGATACCAATTGGAAAGGAAGAAGTCAAACTTTCACTATTTGCAGATGAAATGATAGTATACATAAGTGACCCCAATAATTCTACCACGGAACTTCTACAGCTGATAAACTTCAGTAAAGTGGCAGGATACAAGATCAACTCAAAAAAAAAAAAATCAGTAGCCCTCCTATACACAAATGATAAAAGGGCTGAGAAAGAAGTCAGAGAAACATCACCCTTTACAATAGCCACAAATAATATAAAATACCTTGGGATAACACTAACTAAACAAGCGAAGGACCTGTTTCATAAGAACTTTAAATCTCTAAAGAAAAATTGAAG